CACTCTCAGAGAGCCACACACACACACACACTCTCAGAGAGCCAGACACAGACACACACTCTCAGAGAGCCAGACACACACGCGCACACACACTCTCAGAGAGCCAGACACACACACACTCTCAGAGAGCCAGACACACACACACACTCTCAGAGAGCCAGACACACACACACTCTCAGAGAGCCAGACAAACACAGACACCCTCAGAGAGCCAGACACAGACACACACACACTCTCAGAGAGCCAGACAGACACACACACACACTCTCAGAGAGCCAGACACAGACACACACACACACTCTCAGAGAGCCAGACACAGACACACACACTCTCAGAGAGCCAGACACAGACACACACTCTCAGAGAGCCACACACATACACACACTCTTAGAGAGCCACACACACACACACACACACTCTCAGAGAGAGACACAGACACACACATACTCTCAGTGAGCCAGACACACACTCTCAGTGAGCCAGACAGACACACACACACACTCAGAGAGCCAGACAGACACACACACACTCAGAGAGCCGGATAGAGACACACACACACTCAGAGAGCCAGACACACACACACTCAGAGAGCCAGACAGAGAGAGACACACACACACTCGGAGAGCCTGACTGAGACACAGACACACACACACACTCAGAGAGCCAGACAGACACACACACTCAGAGAGTCAGACAGAGACTCACACACACTCTCACAGAGCCAGACAGAGACACACACACACACTCAGAGAGCCAGAAAGGGACATACACACTCTCAGAGAGCCAGACAGAGACACACACACACTGAGAGAGCCAGACAGAGACACACACACTCTGAGAGAGCCAGACAGAGACACACACATTCTCAGAGAGCCAGACAGACACACACACACACTCAGAGAGCCAGACAGACACACACACACTCAGAGAGCCGGATAGAGACGCACACACACACTCTCAGAGAGCCAGACAGACACACACACTCAGAGAGCCAGACAGAGACACACACACACTCTCACAGAGCCAGACAGAGACACACACACTCTCAGAGAGCCAGACAGACACACACACTCAGAGAGCCAGACAGACACACACACACTCAGAGAGCCGGATAGAGACACACACACACTCAGAGAGCCAGACAGAGACACACTCTCACAGAGCCAGACAGAGACACACACACACTCTCAGAGAGCCAGACAGAGAAAGACACACACACACACTCAGAGAGCCTGACTGAGACACACACACACACACTCAGAGAGCCAGACAGACACACACACTCAGAGAGCCAGACAGAGACACACACACACTCTCACAGAGCCAGACAGAGACACACACACACTCTCAGAGAGCCAGACAGAGACACACACATTCTCAGAGAGCCAGACAGAGACACACACACACACACTCAGAGAGCCAGACAGACACACACACTCAGAGAGCCAGACAGAGACACACACACACTCTCACAGAGCCAGACAGAGACACACACACTCTCAGAGAGCCAGACAGACACACACACTCAGAGAGCCAGACAGACACACACACACTCAGAGAGCCGGATAGAGACACACACACACTCAGAGAGCCAGACAGAGACACACTCTCACAGAGCCAGACAGAGACACACACACACTCTCAGAGAGCCAGACAGAGAAAGACACACACACACACTCAGAGAGCCTGACTGAGACACACACACACACACTCAGAGAGCCAGACAGACACACACACTCAGAGAGCCAGACAGAGACACACACACACTCTCACAGAGCCAGACAGAGACACACACACACTCTCAGAGAGCCAGACAGAGACACACACATTCTCAGAGAGCCAGACAGAGACACACACACTCTGAGAGAGCCAGACAGAGACACACACATTCTCAGAGAGCCAGACAGACACACACACACACACACACTCAGAGAGCCAGACAGACACACACACACTTAGAGAGCCAGACAGAGACACACACACACTCGGAGAGCCTGACTGAGACACAGACACACACACACACTCAGAGAGCCAGACAGACACACACACACTCAGAGAGCCAGACAGAGACACACACACACACTCTCACAGAGCCAGACAGACACACACTCAGAGAGCCAGACAGAGACACACACACTCTCAGAGAGCCAGACAGAGACACACGCACTCTCAGAGAGCCAGACAGAGACACACACACTCTGAGAGAGCCAGACAGAGACACACACACTCTGAGAGAGCCAGACAGAGACACACACATTCTCAGAGAGCCAGACAGACACACACACACACTCAGATAGCCGGACAGACACACACACACACACTCAGAGAGCCAGACAGAGAGAGACACACACACACACACACTCAGAGAGCCTGACTGAGACACACACACACACACACTCAGAGAGCCAGACAGACACACACACTCAGAGAGCCAGACAGAGACACACACACACTCTCACAGAGCCAGACAGACACACACACACTCAGAGAGCCAGACAGAGACACACACACACTCTCACAGAGCCAGACAGAGACACACACACACATTCAGAGAGCCAGACAGAGACACACACACTCACTCAGAGAGCCAGAAAGAGACACACACACTCTCAGTGAGCCAGACAGAGACACACACACTCTCAGAGAGCCAGACAGACACACACACTCTGAGAAAGCCAGACAGAGACACACACATTCTCAGAGAGCCAGACAGAGACACACACACTCTGAGAGAGCCAGACAGAGACACACACATTCTCAGAGAGCCAGACAGACACATACACACACTCAGAGAGCCAGACAGACACACACACACACTCAGAGAGCCAGACACACACACACTCAGAGAGCCAGACAGAGAGAGACACACACACACACTCGGAGAGCCTGACTGAGACACAGACACACACACACACTCAGAGAGCCAGACAGACACACACACACTCAGAGAGCCAGACGGAGACACACACACACTCTCACAGAGCCAGACAGACACACACACACACTTAGAGAGCCAGACAGAGACACACACACTCTGAGAGAGCCAGACAGAGACACACACACTCTGAGAGAGCCAGACAGAGACACACAGACTCTCAGAGAGCCAGACAGAGACACACATCCTCAGAGAGCCAGACAGAGAGAGACACACACACACTCAGAGAGCCTGACAGACACACACACACACTCAGAGAGCCAGACAGAGACACACACACACTCAGAGAGCCAGAAAGAGACACACACACTCTCAGAGAGCCAGACAGAGACACACACACTCTCAGAGAGCCAGACAGAGACACACACACTCTCAGAGAGCCAGACAGAGACACACACACTCTCAGAGAGCCAGACAGAGACACACACACTCTGAGAGAGCCAGACAGCGACACACACACACTCAGAGAGCCGTTTAGAGACACACACACACTCAGAGAGCCAGACAGAGAGACACACACACACACACACACACACACTCAGAGAGCCTGACTGAGACACACACACACACACTCAGAGAGCCAGACAGACACACACACTCAGAGAGCCAGACAGACACACACACACTCTCACAGAGCCAGACAGTGACACACACACACACTCTTAGAGAGCCAGACAGAGACTCACACACTCTCAGAGAGCCAGACAGAGACACACACACTCTGAGAGAGCCAGACAGACACACACACACACACACACTCAGAGAGCCAGACAGAGACACACATCCTCAGAGAGCCAGACAGAGAGAGACACACACACACTCAGAGAGCCTGACAGACACACACACACACTCAGAGAGCCAGACAGAGACACACACACACTCAGAGAGCCAGAAAGAGACACACACACTCTCAGAGAGCCAGACAGAGACACACACACTCTCAGAGAGCCAGACAGAGACACACACACTCTCAGAGAGCCAGACAGAGACACACACACTCTCAGAGAGCCAGACAGAGACACACACACTCTGAGAGAGCCAGACAGAGACACACACACACTCAGAGAGCCGTTTAGAGACACACACACACTCAGAGAGCCAGACAGAGAGAGACACACACACACACACACACACTCAGAGAGCCTGACTGAGACACACACACACACACTCAGAGAGCCAGACAGACACACACACTCAGAGAGCCAGACAGACACACACACACTCTCACAGAGCCAGACAGTGACACACACACACACTCTTAGAGAGCCAGACAGAGACTCACACACTCTCAGAGAGCCAGACAGAGACACACACACTCTGAGAGAGCCAGACAGACACACACACACACACACTCAGAGAGCCAGACAGACACACACACACACACACTCAGAGAGCCATATAGAGACACAAACACACTCAGAGAGCCAGACAGAGAGAGACACACACACACTCAGAGAGCCTGACTGAGAAACACACACACACACACTCAGAGAGCCAGACAGACACACACACACACTCTCAGAGAGCCAGACAGAGACACACACACTCAGATAGCCACAGACACACACACTCTCGGAGAGCCGGACAGAGACGCACACGCTGAGAGTCAAACACAACACTCAGAGGTACACACTCACAGACACAAAGAGAGACACACAGACACATTCTCAGAGAAACACACACTCATATACCCACAGAGATACACACAGACAGAGAGACACATTCACAGAGAAACTCAAACGCACACACACATGGAGAGCCATTCCCACAGCGACACACAGACAGCCTCAGCCTCGCATGTGCATCAGGTGCCGCTCCGCCCACAGTGACATCAGGTAAACAGCACGAGCGGCCCGCGGGCCACAAACTACATTTTTGCCGGGTGTGTAGCAGGCGAGGGACGTCGTAGCTGAAAAGGTGCGACCGCATTTTTCTGTTGGCCCAGATTACAGCTAACAACAACTTCTGAATAACTACAGTAGTATGTTCCACCTCTAACCCAAGTGCTTATGTTAACTTTCCTCACAACGCTGTACACTGAGAGTGCTTGTTTCCTACCATCTAGAGAACTTAACCGAAAGACATCGCTCAAGTTCGTGCACACTTCCTTTCATGGTGTTGGGCATGAGTATGTGCGGTCTGCTTTCAAGGCCTTTGATCTTGCTCCACCCATTCCAGTTCCAGAACAGCAGGATCCCGACCCGGAGTTTTCGACGGTCAAAGTGCCCAATCCTGAGGAGGGGGAGTCCGTACTGGTAAAAAAATTATTCTCTATAGTTTTGTGCACCTTTAATAATCCAAACTCTCGCTCCTTTCTTACTCGTGTAAATCACCATTGTACACCAGCCACCTCCGCTCCTTTAAAGCAAAAATGTGTGCTGCTGAGCGCACCCGGCTTAAATCAAACTAAACAGTCCATCGACAGATCTGGCTGGACCTTATCAAATCTTGCCGCTCTGCCCTTGACTCCGCTAAATTGTCGTTCTACCCCAAGACAATCTTGGAGACCAAGGACAACCCCGGGCTCCTCGTCTCCATTACCAATCTGCCCACCGTCTCGCGCGTCGCCCATCCTCACCACATGCGAACTGCGAGGCGATGCTAAAGTCGAGGGGATCCGCTCAGCTACCTCTGCCCTTCCGTCTGCTACACCCACCCTGGCCCCTACCCATTCCTCCCTCCACACCTTCGAACCTGTCTCCTGCTCCTCTCTCACCACCACTATAACCCGCATGAAACTGACTACCTGTTCCCTTGACCTTATTCCTACCCCTCTCCTTACCTCCCAGCTCCACCTCCTTGCCCCTCTACTCACAGACATCATAAACCTCTCTCTGTTCACTGGTACTATTCCACCCCATTAAAAATGGCAGTCATCACTCCTATCCTTAAAAAAAACCCTCTCTGGAGCCATCTTTTCCCCCAAACTACCCCCCCATCTACAACCTCCCTTTCTTTGCCAAGGTCCTGAAAGAGTTGTTGCTTCCCAGCTTCACTCCTTCCTTGCCTGCCACTCCCTTCACGAACCCCTCCAATTGGGATTTCGTGCTGCCCGCAGCACAGAAACAGCCCTGGTCAAAGTGACAAATGACATTCTGTCCATCTGCATCCAGGGCTCCCTCTGCCTCCTCATCCTCCTTGATCTCTCTGCAGCCTTTGATAAGATGACCACTCTCACCTCATCCACCGCCTCTCCTCTCACCTCAGCCTTCACGGCGCTGTCCTTGACTGGTTCAGATCGTACCTCTCACACTGCCTCCACTTCATCTCCACAAATGGCTTCTCCTCTAACCCCACATCATCTCATACGGCATTCCTCAGGGCTCTGTCTTTGGTCCCCTCCTCTTCACTATCTATACGCTCCCTCTTGGTGACATCATCCGCAGACATGGGGTCAATTTCCACATTTATGCAAATGACACCCAACTCTACCTCTCTGCCTCCACCCTCAACTCCAGGACCCACTGCTGCCCTGACAGAATGTCTGTTGGACAACAAGTCCTGAATGAGAGCTAACTTTCTTCAGTTGAACATCAACAAGACCGAGGCTCTCCCGATTGGCTCCCGTCAGCACCTCCGCACCGCACTGACAGCATCACCATCCATGGCTGCACACTCCACCTTACGAAGCCAGTCCAGAACCTTGGTGTCTTGTTTGACCCTCAACTATCCTTTCTACCCCACATCTGTACCGTGACCCGCTCTGACTTCCCCCACCTCCGCAACATCGCCCGGCTCCGCCACTGTCTAACACCGAAGGCTACCAAAACCCTCATACAAGCTTTCATTACATCAAGGCTTGACTATGCAAACTCCTTGCTTGTTGGCTACCCCAACTCCACCCTCCGTTGGCTGTAGTTCATCCAGAACTCTGTAGCCCGTGTCCTCCGTGACACTATCACCCTCATCCTCACCTGACTCCACTGACTTCCCATCACACAGAGGATATAGTTCAAGATCCTAGTCTTCACCTTCAAAGACCTCCATGGTCTTGCTCCCCCTACCTCTGTGACCTTCTAACCCCCTACCATCCTGCTCGCTCTCTCTGCTCAGGGCTCCAGCCTACTTCACATCCCCCGCCTCGCTCGCCCCACTGTTGGCAGGCAGGCATTCTACCACTCTGCCCCCACCTTCTGGAACTCCATCCTGTGGTGCCTCCCTTGCTTCCTTCAAGACCCATCTCAAGACCTTCCTCTTTGACCCTGCTTTTGATCACCCTTGCTTCCGCCCCCGCCGCCCGCCCTCCACCCTCCCTGATCCCGATTCCCAGCTCGAGTCTGAAACTGACTGTCCAAGCGCCTTGAGATGTACTCCCGACGTGAAAGGCGCTATATAAATATAATGTTGTTGTTGATATCCACAAAAAGCAGTTCAACTGCACTTTAAGTATCTGTCCATTGTATACTTAGGAGTCGCATCTAAACTCAATATCTCAACTTCCCAAGCAGCTTGTCAAAGTGGGATCTCAAGGTGCTAGTGTGGAATATAGGTACCTGACAGGCTGGTTTTATTATTTGATGGTGCCTTGGAACATCCTCCCAATATGTAAGGCGCTATACTAAAACAATGTCATCTGTTGTTGTTGATGACCAATGGTCATTTGAAGCAGTGGACAAAAGAGAGAATGGGCTACCGGTGAGGACTGAGCATGCCTTTGATCATTGTCCTCAGCAAGTTAACTCGTTTAATAAAACTAACCAATCTGGCACTCATACAGTATTGGGAAACCGAAAGGAAGTTCTCCTAATGTCCTGGCCAATGTTTTTCCCACATCCCATCCACTTTTGCTAAATAGTCATTCCTCCACATTGCTGTCTGTGCAACATCACTGAAGCGGACAAACCGCTGATTTCACATGAATAGAATCTAATACTAATATTGATTTTGCTGCATTCGTTCCCATCAGTGTGTCTCAAACATTTCAAACAATTGGTTTGAAGTGCAGTGTCTGTTGTTTTGGCAAACACGGCAGCTAATCTTCACCAGCAATGTTCTCAGTGAAGTGAATGACCAATTATTTTTGCCTCAATGGCCATCACTTCAAAGTGACGTGAGCTGTCCATGCATTTCATATAGTGCCTTATGTCATTGAAACGTCTCAAAGCGCTTCACAAAATATACTGTAAAGTGAATTGACTGTATATTTTGTGGATGAAACGCGGCAGCCAATTGCACACAGCAGTGTCCCACAAATAGTCAAGGATTGAGTGACCAAATTATTATTATTTATTTGAAATGATTATTACCCCAGGAAAGCAATCCCACAATCAACTAACAACCAGGTTCCTACTTATTGCTGGATGAACAGTGGTGTGTGTGTGGAGTTAGGAAATTTGCCTAAGGTTTTGCCCAGGAACCAAACTAATTCCATTCCATGTTCTAAAACTTGAGGTTTGACATTGACATCCCTTTCTCACTGACAAGTGGTTTTAATCGCATCCTGAGTGAATACTGAAATATCCAGAAAGATATGAGCACAATTGAAAACAGTGTCTTTATTTCTGTCACCTTTAGTTTTGGGGGGATTAGTAATAAATACTGGCAATATAATTCAGCTCAACTATTTTAATGATGATCCGTCGCTATGTTCAGTTCCACATCTTCCGTAACATGGATGGAATGAGGAGGGCCTTACTGGTATCAGGCATTGTTACACTCCACTCATCTGCAACAGAAAATAAAAAAAATAATTGTGAGAAAATAAAACAAAGGAGGTAACAGGACTTTGTGAACACCCAGTACATTCAGCTTGTGTGCTGCCCACAGTACTGTATGCACATCTGTTGATTGCTAAACTCAGCATTTAATGGGGGTTGTAAATAGGAACCTGATTGTCCTGACCTCTCATTGCCCTGCCTTCACCAGAAACTTTCCCTCCAACTTGCTGAGAAGGAAGGGGCCCGGATTGTGATAGCCACAGATCCCGATGCAGATAGACTGGCCCTGGCAGAGCAGCAGGACGGGTAAGTATGGAAATCAATCAACAACAATTGGCATTCATATAGCTCCCCTCTTGCAGGGCTGCGTCCCAGACTGCTTAACACTGGTGGAGCACGACACTGAGCCGGGGTGGTGGGGGTTGACGTAGGCATGGTCTTCTGAAGGAGGGCGCAAGGCAAAGGGATAGAGGAAGGGTGTTCCTGAGTTTCAGGGCGTAATGGCTGAAAGCACGGCCACGGATGGTGGAGTGGAGGGGACCAGGGACATGCAGAAGGCTGGAGCCAGTCAAGCAAAGGCAGTGAGTAGTGGGTTGGGGACTAAGCAGGTCGGAGAGGTAAGGTGTCAGGGCATGAAGGGATTTGAAAATGAGTGTGAGGATCTTGAAATTGATCCATTTGGCGATAGGGAGCCAGTGGAGCCTGGATAGTACTTCTGTGATGGGAGTACGGGTGAATATGCGGGTGGTGGAGTTTGGGATCAGATGGATTTTGTGGCTGGTGGAGCTGTGGAGACTGGCAAGGAGGGCATTGGAATAATCTAGGGGGGAGGTGACCACAGAAACAATGCACTCAGTGCACTGTATCAACATCGTTGACCTCGGGTTCAATTCCCTCCATGGCCTTGATCCTTCCTGTCCAATCACTTGGCCTGGTCTCTCCCTCTGCAGTAAAACTGAATATTCAATATAATTGAATGGTTTATTGAATACAATTAAAAAAATCCAATATAATTTCAAGACTAAACTAAGAATATAGTTAATTGAATATCAGATATATGGATAATTTGATTTATTGAATAATTCACTGGCGCTCTCTACTCTAACCACATTCCCTGCTCTCTCCGCATTGTGTCTGCTGGTGCTCACTCCCCCACTGCAGCTCTCCCATCACCTCTCTCCCTAACCTTCTCACATATTGTGAAAAAGCCCAACTTCTTAACTTTTTTTTCATAACCATCATCTCCACCTTGGTAAATTTGCAGTCACTGCTCAGCATCTGAAGTAGAAAGTGTAATTTAATCCAATAATGTCTCATTATTGTGTCTTGCGGCAGTAAGTCCTGGAAAATCTTTTCTGGGAATGAGCTTGGGGCTCTGTTTGGCTGGTGGCTCTACACGTGCTGGAAGAACAAGGGCCCGAAGATGGTCGACATAAAGAACGTTTACATGCTGGCTACCACCGTCTCCTCCAAATTCCTCCAGTCGCTAGCCACGAAGGAAGGCTTTCAGTTTGAGGTACAAAAAACATCTGGTTATAAGAGCAAATTTTATAGCTCATTTGCACCACCAATACAAACAACAACATCAAGTTATGCAGCATATACAGCGCCCTTCACGCGGAGTGCTTAACTGTAGCAGAGCCTGACATGGAGGAGGGAGGAGGTCACCATAATTTAAGAGGAAGGTCTTCAGTCGTGATTTAAAAGAGGGCAAGGAATAGGCAAGGTGGAGGGATTGAGGGAGAAAGTTCCAATGTTTCAGGCAGTATTAGCTGAAAGCACGGCCACTGATGGTGGAGCGGAGGGGCCGGGGGATGAGCATGAGACCAGAGCCAGGCGAGTGGAGACAGCTGGTAGTGGAGTGTGGAGAAAGCAGATTGGAGAGCTAGATAGGTTCCAGGGTGTGAAGGATTTGTAGATGAGTAAGAGATCGTGGAATCTGTGTGTTGTGTGATAGGGAGCCAGTAGAGCCTGGGAGGGCTGGTGTGATGGGGGTATGGAGTTTAGTATGTGTGAGTATATGGGTAGTGAAGTTCTGAATCAGTTGTAGTTTGGTGGTGGAGCTGGGGAGACCGGTGAGGAAGGCATTGGAGTAGTCAAGGTAGGAAGTGACGAAGGCTTGGATGAGATATTCAGTTGTGTTAAGTGTGAGTGTGTCCCACCAGTGACAAGGTACAGATGTTCAGATGGATGTTAGAGATCTTTGGGAAATGTTTCTGTTTGTGTCCTGGCCAGAAACCCTCTGGTTCAGTTGGTCACTCAGCTAATGATTAGCTGGAAAAAGCATTGACTGAATTTGTGGTAATCACTGTGAATCTCTTTTAGCTTCAGATGGATATTATAGGCGCTCTATAGGCAAGGAGGAGTTTTGCAAAACAAACAGTTTATGACCCCACTTGATTGGATGATGACACAAGTCTTATCCATGTATTCCTCACTTCCTTCCTCAATGTTTCCAGTGCCCTCCCTGCCAATCTCCCCAGCTCCAGCATTCATAAAATATACTGGCTCCCTTTTACACTACACATCGATTTCATGATCTTCACATTCTTGTACTGGCATCTCCCTACCTCTCCGAGCTGCTTAACCTCACTCCTTACCTTCCCGCTTGGCTCAGGTGGTTCAAGCTTTCTGCACGCCCCTCATCCCCTCGCTCCACCATCTAAGGCTGTGCTTTTAGCCACTAAGCCCCCAAATTATGGAACTCTCTACCTCAATCCCCCCGCTTTGCCCCTCCTTGCCCATCTTTACATCACATCTGAAGACCTTTGTCTTCGACTGTGCCTGCTCTCTCTCTCTGTCATCAAGCGCTCCAAGACCCTAACTGCGTAAAGGACGCTATATAAATGCAAGTTGTTACAGTGCCTTGTCACGTTAAAATGTTTCAAACTGCTTCAAACTTTTATAAAGTGCAGTGACTATATTTGTGGAAAAAAGCAGCAGCCAACTTGGACACATCAATAGCAATGTACCACAAGTAGCTTGAAAATGAATGGCCAATTTTCTCTGTGAGACTATTGGCTTGAACAACAGGAGAAACTCCCTTCTCTTTTCCAAGGTCCTGTCTATCTGTCAAAAAGACAGATTTTGTTGATGGGCAGACGGGACCTCAGTTTAATGTCTCTAACGATAAAGATGATGATGAACGCTGGCTCAATTGGTAGTGCTCTCACCCTTGAGTCAGAAGGTTGTAGGTTCCAAGCCCCACATTGTGAACTGTAGTTCATAGATGAGGTTGATACTCAAATGCAGGATTGAGGAGTGCTTCGTCCTTGGCATGAGCTGATAAACTTGAAGGCAGGTAGTCTTGTGTCTGCTCAGATAGATATTAAATCCCATAATGCTATTTGAAATGAGAATGTAGTTTATTTTGGTGTCTAGCCAACAGTCCCCCAGATAAAATTGGTAATTTGCTTCATGACTATTTGGGGACCCTGCAGTGTGAAGCAAACTATAGTGCAAGGCTTTCATTGGCTCAGTATATCGGGGCGAACAACCAGTGAAGAACTTATCAGACTCCACCAATACTTATTGGAAAAGAGAAGGTAACTGGAAGTAAGAGTGGAATTAACAGAGGCTCTGGCCACAATCTTTCAATCCTCCTTGGACACTGGAGTGGTGGTGGAGGGTTGCAAATGTTACTCCCCTGTACAAAAAGGGGCAGAAGGATAAACCCGAGAACTAGAGGCCAGTCAGCCTAACATCAGTAGTGGGGAAACTTCTAGAGACTTATCTGGGACAAAATAATTTTTCACTTATGGGAAAGCCAACACGGATTTGTTAAAGGCAAATCATGTCTAACAAACCTGATGGTGTTTTTTGATGAAGTAACACAGAGGGTGGATGATGTTGTTTATATGGATTTTCAAAAGGCGTTTGATAAAATGCCACATAAGAGACTTTTAAGCAAAATAGAAGCCCATGGCATTAAAGGGACAGTGGCATCATGGATACGGAACTGGCTGAGAGATAGAAAACGAGTGGTGGTGGACGGTTGTTTTTGTGACTGGAGTGAAGTGCGCAGTGGTGTCCCCCAGGGATCAGTATTGGGACCACTGCTGTTTTTGATCTATATAAGTGACTTGGGTATAAGGAGTACAATTTCCAAGTTTGCAGATGATACTAAGCTGGAAAAGTAGTAACCAGTGAGGAGGATAGCAGCAGACTGCAAATGGCCATAAACAGACTGGTAACGTGGGCAGATGAAGTTTAATATGGAGAAATGCAAAGTGATGAATTTTGGGAGGAAGAATGAGGAGAGGCGATATAAGCTGATGGTACAATCTTAAAGGGAGTGAAGGAACAGAGAGATCTGGGGTTCAAAGTAACTCTTTGAAGGTGGTCGGATAGGCAGATAAAATAGTTAAAAAAGCATACGGATACTAGGCTTTATAAATGGGGGCATAGAATACAAAAGTCACGAAGTTGTGATGAACCTTTGTAAACACTGGTTAGGCCTGAGCTAGAGACTGTGGTCAGTTCTGGGCACCGCCCTTTAGGAAGGATTTCAAGGCATTGGAGAGGGTGCAAAGGAGATTCATCAGGATGGTACCAGGAATGAGGGACTTCAGTTATCAGGAGAGGCCAGAGAAGGTTAAGAGGAGACTTGATAGAAGTTTTCAAAATTATGAGGGGATTCGATAGGAGAAACTATTTCCACTGGCGGGTTGGTCAGTAACCTGAGGGCACCGATTTAAAATAGTTGTTAAAAGAAACAGAGGGGAGGAGAAATTTTCCACACAGCAAGTTGTTCGAATATGGTATGCATTATCTGAAAGGGTGGTGGAAGCCGATTCAATAACAACTTTTAAGAGAAACATAGATAATTATTTGGGGAGGACAAGTTTGTAGGGGTATGGGGAGAGCAGGGAGTGGGGTTGAATTGGATAGCACTTTTCAAAGAGCCGTTACCGACATGATGGGCCGAATAGCTACCTTCTGTGCTGTATAATTCTGTGATTCACTTGTTGGTTGAACTTTTGCAGACAAGATGGGCCATATGGCCTCCTTCTTTGCTGTAAAATTCTATGATTCTATGATACTATGAAGGTGGTTTGTCTCAGAACTGCCAACTCAGTAATTTTGAGGTTAAGGTTAATACTCGTGAATAAGAATAAAACGGGAAATTTCTATTTGGTCGGGAAGGAGCACACGAAAACCCTAACCTTAATAATAATACTTGCATTTGATGTCTCAAAATTTCACAGTATTTGCTGTAAAGTGGTAAAGTGGGTAACTGTGTTGGGGTAACTGCTGAAGTCAAACTAGCTAAAACTGCAGAGTTTGTCATTGTGAGTACAGTCTGGCAAGCTTTCCCATTGCTTGTCCAACTAGGACCTACCCATTGGAGCTTTTGGCTTGCAGGAGCTGAATGAGAAAAGTACGAATCCCCAGTGAATGGTCGGCCCTTCAAGTCCCGCCGATGTGCTGTCATCAGCAGTCCCCTGCGGACCTGCCTAACTCAGGGATTAGACCGGAGACCAGCACGGAAGTTGGACTTGATCCCAATATTACATTGCCCAATGCGTCACCTTGGAGCCAATTCAAGGAGACCTCGCCCACCCCCCCAGCTTCCCGCAGAGGATAGTTCTGTTTTTTAATTGATACAAGATTGTCACAACCCAGCTCACAGTATAGGAATGCCACTGCCGTCTGGTGGATATTCCATGTCACTGTAGTATGTATACACTGTAGAATAAGGTTCTATTCCTTCCACCTTTCCTCGAATAAGGCTACCTAACATTCCTGTTCTTAGCAATGTTGTGTAGTGTCTTTAGAATAGAAGCCATGTAACTAGCCTGAATAGTGCCAGGTGATTTCAATGTAGATGTAAACTCATTCAGTAGCGACTGTATGCAATCCCTAAGAGGATGTGGTCTGAACACTCGAGTGCAGTAATCATTTCTGAAGCAAACTATGGTGCAAGGTTTTCATTGGCTCAGTATATCAAGGCTAACAACCAACGAAGAGCTTATCAGACTCCACAATACTGAATGGGAGAAGGTGGTTTGTCTGTTTGTTAGGTAACTGCCGACTTGGTAATTTTGAGAGCAAGGTTAATACTCGTAAGAATATAAAGCGAGATTTTTATTTTGGTCGGGCAGAAACACGAAAACCCTAGCCTTAATAATAATAAATCCTTGCATTTGATTTCACAAAGTGCTTCACAGAATATGCTGTAAAATAGATTTACAGTATTTTGTGGGCGAACTGCGTCATCCAATTGCGACAGCAGTGTCCCACAAACAGTCGTTTGTTTTAATGTCGCTTAAGAGTCTCCAAACCAAGCAACTGAGAATTCCCCGTTTTCATCTGACGTGCATGAAAACCTGCAAGGAATACAAGCTGCTCGCCTAACCCTGGATTAGGCACAAGTTGGTGGAAGCCAAGACTTGGAATGTCATAGAATATTGCTGGAGGCTAAAAATCCACATTCTGCCATTGCGAACATTCTCTGACAAGCTTCCTGCTGCTTGTCCAGCTGAGGAGTAGCCTATAAGTCAGCGCTTTGGCTTGCAGGGCTTACAGAAGCAGAATGGGATAGTTGTAGGAATAATAAGCAGGAACGGAACACTCTGATAGGCAAATGGCGGATTGCTTTCCGGGAGTAATAATCCCTCCAAAAATGTCACTCGATCCACGATTCTTTGTGGGACACTGCTATGTGCAATCGGCTACAGCATTTTGCCCACTTTACAGCTGTAAAGCGCTTTGCGACGTCTCAACGATATGATAAGGCGCTATATCAAATGCAAGGATTATTGTTCATTATAAGGTTCCCAACTATTCGTGTCAACCTGAAGAATATGGAAGCTTAGTTTAATCTCTCACCTGAAGGATGGCATCTCTGACAATACAGCGCTTTCTCCCTCTTCACCCCCTGCACTGCAACTCCGTCTTCAACTGTGAGCTCAGGTCACTGACTAGCCAGCAGCTTCCCACAGCAATGCAGCTGATTTTCTATAGTTACCTGAGCTCATTGTTGAAAAGACTATTTAAAAACCGTATGCACTAAAAGCAAATTCTCCTGTCACAGAGTGACACATGTCCGCACATACACTCAGAGCGGGACGTCCCGGGCTCCGCAACTGAGCCCCACACACGCTCGCTCAAACTCGCGCACACACACTCTCGCTCACCACTCACACACAGATACTCAAACACACATTATACAGAGAGTGGGAAGTCCCTAGCTCCGTCACAAAGCCCCACACTCACACACGAACACAGACACTCAAACACACACCACACAGAATGGGACATCCTTGGCTCCGTTACTGAGACGCGCTCATGTACTCACACACAGACACTCATCACACATAATAACAGAGCAGGAAGTCCCGCGCTCTGTCACATGCTCCTGTTGGGCTTCTGCTGGAGTCCATTTTCCCTCAGCTCTCTCCTCAGCACAAGAGTTGATTTCTCCTCATGCTGCTTTCTTTCCTGCACTAGGTAATGAGCCCATTACCCCCATCATTTGACTACACCTTCTTTCCCTCAATGATCCGCAGTATTCCAGGGCACTGCTGATGACAGCCCAGGCTCATCGGCAAGACCTGGAAGGGGAGACCAGTCACTGGGAGCAGGGAGTCATCTCACTCAGCTTCTGTTAACCCTGCCGCCAAAGCCCTAATGGTTAGGGTGGTTCTAGCTGGACAAGCAGTGGGAAAGCTTGCCCATTCATTCTCAATGGGTTTGCTGTGCAGTTTTAGCTGATTACTCCACTAGTTACCCAAACACATGCTCGTTGACCCCCAAGCTTTGGCTCTTGCCAACCTGTGCCTAATGCTTTCAGGAATTAGGTAAGCAAATTGTGTTCCTCCAGTACAAGAGATTTGGATGGAGACGACCAATATGGTGTAATAATCCAAGCTTTATTAAGTAATACAAATAACGTATTCTTAAAACCGAGACCATAGATACAATAGAATCAATGTCGATTCCACTGGGAAGTGCGCTGACCCTCTACACAACTCTAACTATTCCAAAGTTCATATTTTACGTGTTTCTAACTCTGTCTCCCCTTGTCACAGAGATAACCCTCATCCTTGCAGGCTGCTAGTGATCTTGAGCTGGCTCTTTTCGCATGAGAAAATAACTGATAATGAGAAAGAGATATGGACAGCTAATTGGGAGGAGTCCTGTTTCTTAGTCTTGAGCTAATCAAATGTCCAGGAGTGCGCTTATTTCTCTGAGTCTCCTTGTTTTCACATCTGTGCTCAAGGACATGATTACTCAATTCCTAGATGGGAGGATGACATTGGGACTCAGGCACCGAGCGAGGGAACGTTATCAGAACCTGTCCTCTTCCCGGGTCAAGCCAATGTATCTTTAACTTTGCTAACGCTAATTGGCACATGTACCCTCTGAGGGACCATTAAAAACACACCGCCTTGTCTATGCCCTAATAACTAAGGATTGCTATACTAAACAAATTACAAGTGTTTGGTTATATTTTGAAAGTTTACTGATTAAAAAACCTTAAAAACAGTAAGCATCACAAATATAATCTTACACCAGGGAAAGAGTGCACATTCCAATTTAGCTTTCAGATTTCCATGTGTGGGTGGGATGCAGGGAATTCTCAGCTTCTTTTGGAGACTCTTAAGCATGATGATGGGTTTCCGCACGTGTCAGGCTGGTCCAAAAAAACAAATTCTCCCTCCTCACTATCTCTGAAATGCTTTGAAGAGTTCCCAGTGAAGGGGACTATATAAGTAGTTTTGCTGATTTAACAGCATTGAATGTTTTTATAACTTACCTTCTCTTTGTGATCATGTGGTTGTGTTTTAAGGAAACGTTACCTGGATTCAAGTGGATCGGGAATCGTGTTTATCAGTTGATGCAGAATGGGAAAGAAGTACTCTTTGGGTTTGAAGAATCCATTGGTAAGTGATTGCCTCCATTCTGCTTGCTTGCCCAGCGCCTTGGGACATTCTCCCAAAGTGAAAGGCTTGGCACAAATGTAATTTGTTGTTATTGTGGGAATCTATGTTAGCAATAGCCTGGCTCAGGTGGTTCTTAAGCTAATGATCACAAGATCTGTTTGGATGAAGAAGGCCTTTCAGCCGTTCTGCTCTCTTCCCTCTAGAACACCGGCCCTACGCTTCCCCCAACACATCATCAACCTGCTTCCTCAATGAGGAAAAGGCATTTGACAAAGTGCCACATAAAAGACTTGTAAGAAAAATATAAACCCATGGTTTAAAAGGGATAGTGGCAGCATGGATCCCGAACAGGCCGGGAGACAGAAAGCAGAGAGTTGTGGTGAACGGCTACTTTTCTGACTGGAGGGAAGTGTACAGTGGTGTCCCCCAGGGATCGGTATTAGGACCACTGCTCTTCTTAATATACATAAATGATCTGGACTTGGGTGCAAGTACCATCTCCAAGTTTGTGGATGACACAAAGTTAGGGAGGTGGTAAACAGTAAGAAGGATAGGAGCCGACTGCAGGAAGACATAGACAGATGGTAAAATGGGCGACACGTGGCAGAGGAGTTTCAATGTGGAGAAATGCAAGTTATTGCATTTTGGAAGAAAGAATGAGGGGCAATATAGGCTGATAATACAATCTTAAGGGGGGNCGAAGGAACAGAGAGATCCCGGGGGGTAGGTAAATGAATCCTTGAAGGTGGCAGGACAGGGAGATAAGGCTGTAAAAAGGGTATATGGGATACTGGGCTTTATAAATAGGGGCACAGAGTACAAGAGTCAGGAGGTGATGATTAACCCATATAAACACTGGTTAGGCCTCAGTTAGAATACTGCCCCAGTTCTGGGCCCCACACCATAGGAAGGATGTTAAGGCATTGGAAAGAGTGCAGAGGAGATTTACAGAACGGTACCAGGAATGAGGGACCGTGATGATGAGGAAAGGTTCGAGAGGACGGGATTATTGTCATTGGAGCAGAGACGGTTACGAGGAGACCTAATAGAGGTCTTCAAAATCATGAGGGATTTGATGGGTTAGAAAGGGAAAAACTGTTTCCACTGGTGGGAGTGTCGGTGGCTCGAGGTCACAGATTCAAAATAGTCTCTAAAATAAGCCGAGGGGAGGGGAGAAGAAATGTTTTCACGCAGCGAGTTGTTTGAATCTGGAGCGCATTGCCTGAAAGGGTGGTCTGTTTGTGGCAGAGAAAACGTCCCCTAATCTCCATGCTTTGTTCATCTCTCATCTATGTAGCTTGTTTTCCGAATCCTCTAACCTGATCATAGAATGGGTAGGTGCCTGCGTGTGGGTAGGTGCCTGCGTGTGGGTAGGTGCCTGCGTGTGGGTAGGTGCCTGCGTGAGGGTAGGTGCCTGCGTGTGGGTAGGTGCCTGCGTGTGGGTAGGTGCCTGCGTGTGGGTAGAGACAGCAAATGTATGTTATTGTGTTGTTCACAGTATGTGAATTCCTGTAGCCCAGTGGTTAGAGCAGTCACCTCGCAAGCGAGAGGGCCTGGGTTCAATTCCCAGCAGGGTGAAACATTAGACAAGTTTTCTTACTCCAAACACATGCCCCTGTTTACCAGCAGTAAGTAGGAACCGGTTGTTAGTTGATTGGTGGATCACTTTTCTGGGTATAATAATCCCTTCAGAAAATAATCATAATTTGGTCACTCAACAACAACAACAACAAGATTACATGTGTAAAGCGCCTTTCACGTCGGGAGGACGTCCCAAGGCTCTGGACAGAGTACACCATTTCAGACCCGACTGGGGTTGGGGTGGTAAGGGAGGGGAAGGAGGGTGGCCGATGGCATGGTCGAAGAGGAGGATCTTGAGCCGGGACTTGAAGGAAGCTAAGGAGGGGGTGAAGCGGAGTGACTGGGGGATAGAATTCCAGTGGCTGAAGGCTCTCCCGCCAATGGTGGGGCGGGTGGGTCGGGGGGTGTGGAGCAGCCAGAGCCGGCTGAGCGGTGGGAACGGGCGGGTTGGTAGGGGGTTAGGAGATCGCAGAGGTAGGGTGGGGGGAGGCCATGGAGGGCTTTGTATGTGAGAACCAGGATCTTGAACTGGATCCTCTGAAGGATAGGGAGCCAATGGAGTCGGGCGAGAGTGGGGGAGATGGGGTCACGGAGTTTGGTGCGGGAGAGGACACGGGCTGCAGAGTTCTGGATTATCTTCAGCTGTGGAGGGAGGAGTTGGGAAGACCGACAAGAGGGCGTTTGCATAGTCGAGCCTGGAAGTGATGAAGGCATGAACAAGAGTTTGCGGTCTGAGGGGTGAGGTAGTGGTGGAGTCGGGCGATGTTACGGAGGTGAGGGAAGGCAGAGTGGGTTGTGGCTTGGATTTGGGGAAGAAAAGACAGTTGAGGGTTGAACAAGACACTTGGGTTCCTGACTGGCTGGTGAGTTGTAGTGTACACCATGGAGGTTGATGTTGCCAGAGCCTGAGGTGCTGAGGCCAATCAGGAGGGCTTCAGTCTTGTTCACATTCAACTGCAGGAAATTTGCCCTCATCCAGGACTTGATGTCTGACGGGCAGTCTGTCAGGACAGCAGTGGTCCTGGAGTTGAGGGTGGAGGCAGAAAGATAGAGTTGGGTGTCATCCGCATACACTCAATCCACGACTCTTTGTCGGACATTGCTGTGGGCATTTGACTGCCGCATTTCACCCACAAAATATAAGTCACTTCACGTTACAGTATATTCTATGAAACGCTTTAAGACATCGCAAAGACGCAATAAGGTTCTATGTCAAGGCACTATATTGAGACCATTCTCATGGAGGATATAAAAAAAGTGTGCGTCCGTGTGCACACATCTCTACCTCTGTTTGACTATGTATTTGACTCTCTCTGTATAACTCTTCGCCCTCTCTCCTATTCTCTCTCCATTTCTCTCTCACCCTCTCATCCTCTCTGTGCGACTCTCTGACTCTCCCTCCCCCTCTTATCTCTCTGTCTGTCTCTCAGGCTTCATGTGTGGCACCACGGTCATCGATAAAGATGGAGTGAGCGCAGCTGTGATTGCCGCAGAAATGGCTGTTTATCTGGAGTCCAAGGAACTAACCGTAGCCAAACAACTCCAAAATATTTATGAAACGTAAGTACGTTTTTATAGCTCTCATCTCATGCTCACGCTTGGTTTTGTTACTTATTCATCCTTGGCATTGGGTGGCACTGTGAGGCTGGCATGTTGCCATCTCTGGTGGTCCTGGTGAAGCCTTGCGTTTAAACAGCTGCAGCCCTTGTTATTTATATAGTTACGAAACAGGTCATTTGACCCAACCAATCTGGGTCAGTGTTTAAGATCCACAACAACAAGATTGTATTTGTATAGCGTCTTTCACGTCGGGGGACGTCCCAAGGCGCTGGACAGTGTACAGCATTTCAGACCTGAGCTGGGGTCAGGGAGGGAGAAGGGAGGGGAGGGGAAGAGGGATGACCGATGGCATGGCCGAAGAGGAGGGTCTTGAGGCGAGTCTTGAAGGAGGCTAAGAAAGGGACAAGGCTGAGTGATTGGGGGATGGAATTCCAGAGGTTGGGGGCAGAGCGGCTGAAGGCTCTCCCACCAATTGTGGGACGGGTGGGTCGGGGGATGCGGAGCAGGCCAGAGCCGGCTGAGCGGAGGGAGCGGGTGGTTGGTAGGGGGGGGGTTAGGAGGTCGTCGAGGTAGGGTGGGGCGAGGCCATGGAGGGCTTTGTAGGTGGGGACCAGGATCTTGAACTGGATCCTCTGAAGGATAGGAAGCCAGTGGAGTCGGGCGAGAGTGGGGGAGATGGGGTCACAGAGTTTGGTGCGGGAGAGGACACGGGCTGCAGAGCTCGCAGAGCCCGATTATCTGCAGCTGTGGAGGGAGGAGTTGGGAAGGCCGACACGCAGGGCATTTGGATAGTCGAGTCTGGAGGTGATGAAGGCATGAACAAGAGTTTCAGCGCCTGAGGGGTGAGGTAGTGGCGGAGTCAGGTGATGTTAAGGAGTTGAGGGAAGGCAGAGTGGGTCATGGCTTGGATATGGTGAAGAAAAGACAGTTGAGGGTTGAACAAGACACCTAGGTTCCACAACAACAACTTGCATTTATATAGCACCCCTCACGCAGAGCACTTAACAGTAGCGGAGCCTGACGTTGAGCTGGGAGGGGAGATGACTGTAGGTACAGTCGAAGAGGAAGGTCTTCAGGCACAACCTGAAGATGGGCAAGTGGAGGGATTGAGGGAGAGAGAATTCCATGGTTTCTTGGTGCAGTACCTGAAAGGGCGGTTGCCGATGGTGGAATGCAGGGCATGATTGACAAGCAGGAGGCCGGAGACAGCAGGTAGTGGGTTGGAGAGTAAGCAGGTCGGGAGGTGATGCACCAGCCCCCACTCCTCTAATTCCCTTTTGAGGCTTTGGAGGGGGTGATGAGGTTGACTGAGGAGCCCCAACCTCAGGGTTCTGATTGAGCGACAATGTTTGTCCAAGGCAAGAGGAGAACGGAGGAGGTGGTGTTGCTGTGTTCCGGTGGTGATCTTGTGATCCAACAACAAAATTACATTTACGGAGCGCCTTTCACGTCCCAAAGCACTGAACAATCAAGGGTCGGGACCCTAGCATGGGGGAGGGGTGGTGTAGGAGTAAGGGAAGGCAGAGAGGTGGGAGGACGATCAAAGGCACAATCGAAGAGAAGGGTCTTGAGAACGGCCTTGAAGGAGGCAAGGGACGAAGCAAGGCGAAGGGATCGTGGGATGGAGTTCCAGAGTGTGGGGGCAAAGAGGCTGAAAGCCCGGCCACTGAGGGTGAGTCGGGCGGGAGACATGGAGCAGACCAGAGCCCGCTGAATGGAGGGTGCGGGCAGGTTGGTAAGGAGTCAGCAGGTCAGAGAGGATGGCCTTGAAAGTGAGGACGAGGATCTTGAACTCGATCCTCTGGGGCATGGGGAGCCAGTGGAGTCGGGCGAGGGTGGGAGTGATGGGGTCACGGAGCCCTGGTGCGCGAGAGTACATGAGCTGCAGAGTTTTGGATGATCTGCAGCTTGTGAAAGGAAAAGTTGGGAAGGCCGATGAAGAGGGAGTTCCCGTAATCGAGCCTTGATGGGACGAATGTGTGGGTGAGGGTTTGGGCAGCCTGAGGGGTGAGGCAGTGGCGGAGTCTGGCAATGTTGCGGAGGTGGTGGTAGGCAGTGCCGGTCATGGCGCGAATGTGGGGGAGAAAGGACAGTTCAAGGTCAAACAAGATACTCGGGTTCTTAACTGGTTTAGTGAGGTTGAGTGGCAGCCGTGGAGGCTGAGGGAGCCCTGGTCACACATGGTCAGGATGTTATTTGTGACCTTGACCAGAGCAGTTTCCGTACTGTGGGCAGCATGGAAACCCGATTGGAGGGGCTCATGGAGGGCGTGGAAGGAGAGGAAAGAGCGAAGCTGGGAGGCAACGACGCTCTCAAGGACCTTGGATAGGAAGGGGAGGTGGGAGGTGGGCCGGGAGCTGGATAGCTGTGATGGGTCAAAGGAAGGTTTCTTCAACGTGGGGGTAATAGTGGCTGTTTTGAGGGGGGTAGGAACAGTGCCAGATGACAGGGAGAGGTTAATGATGTCGGCAAGAAGTGGGGCAAGGAGGTGGAGCTGGAATTTCAGGAGAGGGGTGGGGATGTGGTCCAGGGAGCAAGTGGTGGGCTTCATGGAGGATATGGTGGTGATATAGAGGAGGGATTGAAAGGTTCAATGGTGTGGAAGAAGGGATGGGTAATTGTCGGGGGTGTTGTCGGGAGGGGGTGTAAGTTGGAAGGGCAGTGGCTACTGAGCGGATTCCCTCGATTTTAGACTCGAGGAAGTCCAGCATTTTCTCACAGTGGGAGTCAGAGGAAAGAATCTGCGAGGCGTGGCAGGGAGGGTGGAGGAGCCGGTTAGTGTTGGAGAACAGGAGCCTGGGGTTGCCCTTTGCCTCCAGGATTAACCTGGAATCGAAGGACGATTTGGTCGAGGTGAGAGCGGAGCGGTAGGTGTTGATCGGGTGGTAGTCCTGTGAATGACTGATCTTGTTCTGACTGGTTTGTTGGTGAGAGTCGGTGGACGGGGAATGTTGGGACCAGTTTTTCCTGAGATTCTGCTGGTTTGTAATGTAAAGAGATATTATTATTATTATTATTGTAAATATGAACATTTCCCTTTAGGTACGGCTACCACATCTCAAAGACTTCCTACTTTAAGTGCCTCAGCCCTTCCACGATGCAGAGAATATTTCAACAGCTTCGAAACTATGGGGCTGAAAATCAGTATCCCAGCTTCTGTGGTTCCTATGAAATTGTGCACATCAGGGATGTAACCACGGGATACGATAGCAGCCAGCTTAATAAGATATCTGTAAGTTACACAGTGCTCTAGATCCTGCCTGTCTCCTGACCAACTGCTTTCTATATTACTCACTCATTGACCTCAGGACAATCCTTGTTTGCCAAAGATCTAGTCCCTACACTTTCTGATCCAGTGTGGTAATGTGAAGAGGCAGTACGGAGGAGAGCAACGAGACTGAACTAAAGGAAAACATGCACTATTATAGCACCTCAATCATGTCAATGTCACTTCAAGTGCTTCAGAGCATTTGCTGTGACAAAAGAACCAGAGGAAAGATGAGGAGAAATTATTTTACCCAGAGAGTTGTTACGATCTGGAATGCACTGCCGGAAAAGGTGGTGGAAGCAGATTTGATAATAGTTTTGACAAAAGAATTGCATAGGTACTTAAAAGGAAAAATTTGTAGTACTATGGGGTAAGAGCGGGGAGTGAGACTAGTTGCTAGCTCTTTCGGAGCACAACGCCGAGCCAGGGGGCAGAGGGGTTGGGGGGAATGGTTGATAAGGGCAAAATTTTAGAATCATTGATTAAGGATGTGGTAGTGCGGTATTTAGGGCACAATATAATTAGGCCAAGTCAACATGGCTTTATAATAATAATAATAATCCCTCCAAAACAAAACAATAATAAATTGGTCATTTTCAATCTACGACTGTTTGTGGGACATTGCTGTGCGCAATTGGCTGCCGCGTTCGCCCACAAATATACAGTCAATTCACTTTACAGTGTGTTCTGTGAAGCGCTTTGGGACGTCCTCCCGACGTGAAAAGCGCTATATCAAATGCAAGGATTATTATTATTATTATTATGGTTTTACAAAAGGGAAGTCATGTTTGACAAATCTCAGAGTTTTTGAGGATATTTCCAGTAAACTTGATAAGGGTGAATCAGTGGATGTGGTCTATTTGGACTTCCAGAAGGCATTCGATAAGGTGCCGCATAAAAGGTTAGTCCAAAAGATAAGGGCCCATAGAATTGGGGGGAGCATATTAACGTGGATTGGGGAATGATTAACGGGTAGGAAACAAAGTGTAGGGATAAATGGGTCCTTTTCAGATTGGTGGGATGTGACTAGTGGAGTGCCACAAGGATCAGTCCTTGGCCTCAGCTATTTACCATCTACATCAACGATCAAGATGAGGACATTGAAGTTAATATATCTAAATTCGCAGATGACACAAAACTAGAGGAAGTGTCAACACAGAGGACACATTAAAAAAATGCAGCGCAACATAGATAGGTTAGGTGATTGGGCAGGTAGGTGGCAGATGAAGTATAATGTAGGGAAGTGCGAAGTCATCCACCTAGGGAGCAAAAACAGTAGAGCGGGTTATTTTTTAGAAGGGGAGAGATTGGAATGTGTTAGCGTCCAGAGGGACTTGGGTGTCCTTGTACACCAATCACAGAAAGTTAGTCTGCAGGTGCAGCAGCAATTAGGAAGGCGAACGGTATGTTAGCATTCATTATGAAAGGATTAGAGTATAAGAGTAGGGAAGTCTTGCTGCAACGGTATAGGGCCCCGGTGAGACCGCACCTGGAATAGTGTGTCCAGTTTTGGTCTCCTTATTCAAGGAAGGATGTACTTGCCTTGGAGGGGGTGCAGCGTAGATTTACTATGTTAGTACCAGGGATGAAGGGGATGAGTTACGAGGATAGGCTGACCAATTTGGGCCTATATTCTCTAGAATATAGAAGAATTAGAGGGGATCTTATAGAAACCTATAAGATCATCAAAGGGCGATAGAGTAGATAGTGGGAGATTGTTTCCCCTGGTTGGAGAAACTAAAACCAGGGGTCACAACCTTAAAATCAGAGGCAGCCCTTTCGCACTGAGTTGAGGAAGAACTTCTTCACTCAAAGGGGTGAATGTATGGAACTCACTACCCCAAAGGGCTGTTGACGCTCAGTCCTTGAACATATTCAAGACTGAGATATAGATTCTTATTGCAAAAGGGATTAAGGATATGGGGATAAGCGGTCAGGTTATTAGCTGGAGTTAGATTAGAAGATCAGCCATGATTGAATGGCGGGGCAGGCTCGAAGGGCCGAATGGCCTACTCCTGCTCCTACATATTATGTTATGTCAAAGAAGAAGGGCTTCAGGCATGACCTGAAGATGGGGAAGGAAGGGACAAGGTGGGGAAATGGGGGAAGAGTGCTCCAGAGTTTTGGGGTGTAGTGGCTGAAAGCAGCGCCACCAATGGTGGAGCGTATAGTACGAGTCAAGAAATGAATGACATCATGAACGTAATGACTAATTAATGTGAAGGATTGTTGGCCACCACACAGGCAGAGATGTTGCTCTTTTCTAATAGTGCGGAGGGATTTTACTGTCTGCCTGAATATATGGAAAGGACCTCGCTTTCATGTCTTATGTGATGAACAATATCTCCACTGAGATGTGCTGAAGGGTTGTTAGCCTGTAGCTCATACCCAATGTGGGACTTGAACCACAAAGGCCAATGCTGCATGAGCTAAGATAACACAATTGTTATCTCGGGTTTGACAACCTTACTATAATAATAATAATCTTTGCATTTGGTAAAGCGCCTTATCATGACAGAAGAATGTCTCAAATCGCTTTATAGGGATTACTTTGAAATGGAGTGACTGTATTTGTAGGGAAACACAATTGGAGTGAGCGACCAATTTTATTTGGCGGATTGTTAGCCAGGATACCGGGAGAGAGAATCTCCCTTTTCTCTTTGAATAGATCTTTTAATGTCCACCCAAATGGGCAGACAATACACTTGGTTTAATTTCACATCCAAAGGACATTGGGCTAGTGTAGGAAATGGCTCAGTGCTGTTATGTGGAGTCCCGTAGTGTAGTGGTCAGACCACTCGCCATGCAAGTGAGAGTTCCCAGGCGGGCAGGACAAAACGTTGGTCATGTTTCCTTACTCCACAAGCCTCTGTTTACCTAGCAGTAAGTAGGAACACGGTTGTTAGTCAATTGGCGGATTGATTTCTGGGAGTAATAATCGCTCAAAAAAAATGTTGTTCATGACTATTTGTGGGACATTGCTGAGTGCAATTGGCTGCTGTGTGAAGCACTTTGAGACGTGATAAACCGCTATATCAAATGTAAGATTAATATATTATTACGGGAAATTGGGTGTTGGGATGATGAGATCAAATGGGCTGAAACCTCTCAATTATCCGCCTGATGTGATCAATGTGTTTGTGTGAGAAGTGAATGCTGAAGTGTGGTGTGAGCTGTGCTGTTTGCTGTCTCACTGTCAAGGCTTTGCCCCACAGCTGCTGCCGGTGAGTAAAAGCAGCCAGATGATCACCTTCACCTTCCTAAATGGCTGTGTGGCCACCCTGCGGGCCAGCGGCACCGAACCCAAACTCAAGTACTACGCTGAGCTGTGTGCAGCCCCAGGCCAGAGGTCAGTCACCCCCATTCCCTGCTCCATCCCCATTATGTCTGTGTTGGTGCTCACTCCCCCATTGGATCAAACTGCCAATTCCTTATAATCCCGATCACCTTTGGAATGGCTTTCAAAGATTTATCCTATTCTTTTAAATGTGACAGTCTAGTCTCAAAGGTCAAATTGTGGCAAATGGTTCCATGTTGTAAGGAGCCTGTGTGTGACATCGACACTTAGCTCTGCTCACAACTTTGTTAACGCCTCGTGCCTCACCTCGCTTAGAACTGCTGTTTGTAATGACGCTGTGCAAAGTATTGTTTACTGATCGATACAGCTTATATAATAATAATAATAAGCTTGTAAACGACCTGTGATTGAAAGAGGTAAACTCAGAACAAATCTGCGGAAACGCTATTTCATTGAGTGAGTTAGTAATCTTATGGAACAGGCTCCCTTGGGAGACAGTGTAAGTAGAAAATTTGGTTTGTGTCGAGAACAAGTTAGATAGATTTCTGCTGGAAAATAATATCTGGGGATACAGTATAGAGTTTGGGCCACGACATGTCAAGCGACTGCTAGGATTCCTGGTGGAAAGTGAATTAGATGGACCTGGGTCTTCCTTCGCCAGCAAATTCTTATGTTCTTATCATTTCCAGTGACACAGCGCGACTGAGAGAAGAGCTGGACAAACTGATCGACGCAATGGTGACGTACTTCCTGGAGCCTGGAAAGAACGGTCTTATCGCTCGTTCTGTTTAATTTGAAAGGTGTGTGTGTGTGTGTGAGAGAGAGAGAGAGAGAGAGAGAGAGCAGGTGGGTGTGGAGCGATGCAGAAGGTTGTCACTGGAAGGGAAGATGCGGTTGATGTGCTTGGTGACTTTCTGGGAAGGACTTCACCTGATGTACCTGAGAAAGAACAGACAGCCTGAGGTGGGGAGGTAACTCGCACTATAGTGGGTCCATGCTGCTCTGCCAGGCAGTCTGCGCCGTTCCTTTGTGTTGTGCATTTTTCACGTAGAGTCCATGTGTTAGTCACTACCAAGTCCCCGCGCCCTGCTAATGCTTTCCTGGGCGGGTTTGGAGATCTGGTGAGAGGTGGGGGGATCGGCCCAACATTTTACCAGCGAAGGGAGGCAGTGGGAGAATGGGGCCCCTGTACTGATTAATTAGTGCTAATGAGCCCCCGCTTATTGACGTTTGTAGACACATTTCAAGATCAGAAAACATCTCGTCTCTAGAAACAATACTAACACTTGCCTTCAGTTCTGCCTTTAACACTGCAATGGCTGAGAAGACTTTGCTGTCAATGGCTATCAAGTGTAGTGACTGTGTGTCTCTAGGCAATCCTCTCCTCTGCAGAGTCCTCTGAAGCACTCGCATCGCAAGCGAGAGGACCTGGGTTCGATTCCTGGGAAAAGCAAAATCTTAGGCAAGTTTCCTTACTCCACTCGCTTCTGTTCACCTACCAGTAAGCAGGAACTCGGTTGTTGGTTGATTGGCGGATCGCTTTCTGGGGATAATAATCCCTCAAAGAAAAATTGGTCGCTCAATCTTTGTGGGACGCTACTGCGCACAATTGGCTGCCATGTTACACCCACAAAATATACATTTCACTTTACAGTGTATGCTGTCGAGCGTTTTGAGACATCTCAACAACATGATAAGGCGCTATATCAAAAACAAGTATTATCATTATAGTTTGCTGGGACCTCTGTGCTGATCTCGCACTGTATTACGACACTCCACTTTTCAATCTTCACTGTTAAGGGGGCAAATGTCAGGATCTGATGGATGCTTTTTGTATGTAGGAGAAATGTTAATGATATATCTAAAATGTTAACTGATAGTTAACGTTTTCCTTGTGTGTGTGTGGTGGGGGGCAGTTTGTGTGTGTGTGGTGGGGGCAGTTTGTGTGTGTGTGTGTGTGTGTGTGTGGTGGGGGCAGTTTGTGTGTGTGTGTGTGTGTGTGTGGTGGGGGGCAGTTTGTGTGTGTGTGTGTGGTGGGGGGCAGTTTGTGTGTGTGTGTGTGTGTGTTGTGGGGGGCAGTTTGTGTATGTGTGTGTTGTGGGGGGCAGTTTGTGTGTGTGTGTGTTGTGGGGGGCAGTTGGTGTGTGCGTGTGTGTGTGGTGGGGGGCAGTTGGTGTGTGCGTGTGTGTGTGGTGGGGGGCAGTTGGTGTGTGCGTGTGTGTGTGGTGGGGCAGTTGGTGTGTGCGTGTGTGTGTGGTGGGGGGCAGTTTGTGTGTGTGTGGTGGGGGCAGTTTGTGTGTGTGTGTGGTGGGGGCAGTTTGTG